GAAATAGTCATAGTCAGGAAATGACAATTACACACGACAAACAGGCAAGCAAGCAATCGATGAGAAGCCTAATCATGCTGAGTATAACACAAATATCTCAAAGTCCAAAGGTGTCATGGTAGGAAGACATATTATCTTAAAGTTAAATAGAACAGGCAAACTCAAAACTTAAGCCAGTCGACTATGCATGATCATGGAACCTAAATATATTGGGATTCAACTAGAAGCATAAGCAATACCAAACAATGCAGGATTGACCAAGCACTAGAACAAAGCAACAAGTTTGGTTAAAACATTGCGACAACAAATATGGTTCGTGTAAGCAGGTAAAAAATAGAGTTCACATAAAGGAATTATCACTAGAAGTTCATTAAGGCAAATTCTGGGTAAGAGATGATTCCCTAGGAATTTCAGTGCGAGAATCCAAAACAAGGCATGAGAAAAACTCACAATAAATAACAGAACAACAAAGCAAACTTAAAGATACAAAGTCATTCAAGCCGAACACATAGGAGTTTAAAGAACTAGGCATTGTGATACTAGGAGATTCAGAATTGCAGAATAGCTACAATGCAAGTAAACTTGCCAATGATTACAATACTATATTGGAGTCATATTGGTTCGAACAACATGGATGTGCAAAGCACTGGAAACAAGCAAAAGAGGATAGAATTGCAAAGTCAAGACACTCACCAGTTTGTAGATTCAACAAACAAAAATAGAAGAGAAGGCTAAGTGTCAGAAACAGCTCGAATATCACCAGCAAAGAGAACAACCAAAAGACCCAAATCCTAGTGCGTTAGAGTTCATAGGAGCCTCAAATGAGCCCTGAGTAGTGCTCGCACTAGGGAGGTCGTTAGAGAGGGTTCTGATGGCCTTGGCTTTCAGTCAGCCAAGAGCAATAGATTCAGAATCATATCGAGTGAGTGAGAGTATGAGAGGATAACAATGATTCAGGTCCGTTAAAAGGGGTTAGGAGAGGGGTTTATATAGTAGTAAAATTGAATGAAGAAACAAGGAAACATAATTAATCAAACACAAAAATAAGGAAAGAAAAGCATGCAAAATCAATTCAGAATAAATTTAGGAGAAAAATCGGGTAAACCCTAGTTCAAAAAGAAGAACACATTAGTCAGAGATATCACTGAATCGGACCCATTCAGCCTGGTAATGAGTGTATACAGACGAAACATCATCTGGATTTAAACAAAATGGAGCTTGATTTCCTCGATTCGGAGCCTCGCACTTGCCAAAAATAGGCGAGTACTATGTGATACCAAAATCGTGTAAGAAACAACGAGACAGAGCATAAATGGAAAGGGAATCATGGAGTGATTCCATGTTGAGGTCGGAGTTGGATAGAATAAGGGAGGCGGCTGCTAGGGTTTGAGAGGGGAGGAGAAGAGAGGATTTAGGGGCGGCCGTCTTAGACAAATGGTAGGGGTTTGGGTGGGTTTGGTTAGTTTAAAGCAGAGGGGTGATTGTGGGCCGTTGATCTTGAGAGATCAACAGCTAGGATTAGAAGAAAACGGAGCAGGTCGTTGTAACGCGTCTCGACCGGGTTTGGGATAGGGGTCGTTTGGTTTGGGCCAAAGGAGGTTGGGCTAAGGGTTGGAGATCTCTGGGCCAGTGATTTGGGTCTGTTTGGTCCGAAATTAGCCCCAAATTTGGGCTACAAATTAAATACACGAAAAATTATAAAAATTATTTATAAAAAGTAATTAAAAAATAATAAAAATATTGTTTGTGTAGTAAGTTGCTTGAAAATAATAATTTAACATTGTAAAAATATAAAATTCTATTTGGGTACAAATAATGTAATAAAAATATAATTATGCACAACATATAGGCTATTATTGCAAAATTATGTAAATAGCTTAAAAATATAAATATACTTATATAAAATAAAGTAAAATATTCTGAAACATATATTTTGATGCAAATAATAACTTTGGATAATTAAGTCATAACAAAATAATTTAAGGGGTAATTAATAAATATTCAAGTAATTTAAATGCAAGAAAATCAATTTAAAAAAAATAAATAAATTATAAAAACTATAGAAAATACTTGTATAACTCTTGTAATTTAAGTAATGATGCAAAATGATATTTTAAAAATATATATACTATTTGAAAAAAATATGAGGGCAAAATTGGGTATCAACAATAGGCATAGAATAACTTTTTTGTTATGTATTTTTCTTTATTATATTATCCAATATTTAGTATTATTTCATTGTTAACAAAAAATTTATTATCATATTACTTTTTTTTAATATTTTTGTCTGTTACTTTCTTTTTGTAATATAATAGAAGATATATATTATTACTCTTGTAATATATATATATATTTTTAAATTTTATTCTCTTGTTCTTAATAATATTTTCTGAATTTTAATGAATAAATACACTTTTTATTTTTGAAACGAAAAACGAAAATGATTTAAAAAGTAAAAAAAAACAAAGAAATTAACTAACCTAAACCAACCCTCATGAGTAGTTAATTTTAGGTAGGTAATTTCTTTGTGTCTTTGTTTTTTATCATTTTCTTTTTTTCTTTTTTTAAAAATAATTTTTGAATCTCCAAATTTGTTGGAGCTTTGTCCTAAAATTTTACACTTGTTAAATTTTTTGTTGTTACACTTGGCATCATCACATTGACTTGCTTCTCCTATATAGATAGAAGATTTATCTTTTCAGATTTTATTTTCCCTTTTTCATTTGTATTTAATAACCTTAAAATTTGGATGAAATTTAGGTTCTCGTTTATCCTTATATCACAAGATCCGATTATTGAATAGTGATATTCAAATTCCAATTAGTTTATCTTCTATGATTTTATGTGCGAAATATTTGTATTTGCATTAGATTAAACAAAGGTAGAATGTCCATATACAGTCCGCCGCTTATTTTGTTGATTCCAACCAAGAGATTATGAGTTCGAGTCACCCCAAGAACAAGGTGGAGAGTTCTTGGAGGGAAGGAGTCGAGGGTCTATCGGAAACAGCCTCTCTACCCCAGGGTAGAGGTAACGTCTGCATATCATACTACCCTCCGCAGATTACACTAGTGGAATAATACTGTGTTGTTGTGGTGGTGGTGTTTGAATCCATAATTCCATATTCAATGAATCACTCATCATAGCGGGCCCATAAGTATACACCATTTGATAATAAATGGGAAAAAATAAAATGGCTCATGAAGGTGCGTTATAATCCATAGTGATACGCTCCCACTTCCACTCAGGAATTTCTAACTTTTGAAGCAAACCACCAGGTCTCTGATGCTCGTACTTGACTTGTTGACAATTTAGACACCGAGCTACATATGCAACTGTCCTTCTTCATTCTCCTCCACCAATAATGTTGTCGTAAATCTTGATACATTTTAGCGGCACCTGGATGAATAGAATACCTGGAACTATGGGCCTCTTCCAGAATTAATTCACGAAGCCCATCCATAATAGGCACACAAATACGACCCTGCATTCGCAGAACTCCATCTTCCCCCATAACAACCTGTTTGGCATCACCGTGCCGCACCGTGTCCTTGAGGACAAGTAAATGAGGATCATCATACTGCCGTCCTTTGATGAGCTCATATAAAGAAGACCGAGCGACTGTGCAAGCTAAAACCCGACTGTGCTCTGAAACATCTAACCTCACGAGCTGATTAACCAAAGTCTGGACATCTACAGCTAGCGGTCTCTCACCAACCAGAATATAAGCAAGGCTACCCATACTCACAGCCTTTCTACTCAAAGCATAGGCCACCACATTAGCCTTTTCGGGGTGATATAAAATGGTGATATCATAGTCTTTCAACAACTCCAACCATCTTCTATGCCTCAAATTGAGATCCTTTTGTTAGAACAGATACTGAAGGCTACAATGATTAGTAGATACCTCACATGAGACACCGTAGAGGTAATGCCTCCAAATCTTTAGCGCGTGAACAATGTCTGCTAATTCTAAGTCATGAACAGGATAATTCTTCTCGTGAACTTTCAATTGTCACGACGCGTATTCAATCACCCTGCCATCTTGCATTAATACTGCACCAAGCCCAATGTGAGATGTATCATAATATACCGTATAAGATCCTGAACTTGTGGGTAATACTAATGCTGGCGCCGTAGTCAAAGCAATTTTGAGTTTTTGAAAGCTCAACTCACACTCGTCTGACCATCTGAATCCACCTTTCTGGGTCAGTCTGGTCAATGGGCTTGCTATAGATGAAAACTCTTCCACGAACCGACGATAATAACCTGCCAAACCCAGGAAACTTCAGATCTCTATAACTGAAGTAGGTCTAGGCCAATTCTGAACAACTTCAATCTTCTTAGGATCCACCTTTATGCCTTCTGCCGATTAGTCGAGTGAATATTTCGAACTTGAATTAATGTAGCCCGTAGGCGTAATGGCCGAGTGAGTGCTTGCTCGGACTCAAAATGAAAGTAGCCCGTAGGCTTATTAGTCGAGTGAATGTTTCGAACTCGAAATAATGTAGCCCGTAGACGTAATGGTCGAGTGAGTGCTTGCTCGAACTCGAAATGAAGGTAGCATGTAGGCGTAATGGTCGAGTGAGTGCTTGCTCGAACTCGAAATGAAAGTAGCCCGTAGGCTTATTAGTCAAGTGAATATTTCGAACTCGAAGTAATGTAGCCCGTAGGCATAATGGTCGAGTGAGTGCTTGTTCGAACTCGAAATGAAGGTAGCCCATAGGCATAATGGTCGAGTGAGTGCTTGCTCGAACTCGAAATGAAGGTAGCATGTAGGCGTAATGGTCGAGTGAGTGCTTGCTCGAACTCGAAATGAAGGTAGCATGTAGGCGTAATGGTCGAGTGAGTGCTTGTTCGAACTCGAAATAAAGGTAGCCCGTAGGCTTAATGGTCGAGTGAGTGCTTGCTCAAACTCGAAATGAAGGTAGCCCGTAGGCGTAATGGTCGAGTGAGTGCTTGCTCGAACTCGAAATAAAGGTAGCCCATAGGCTTATTGGTTGAGTTTATCTTAATTCTGATTGCACAATAAATCTCAAGTCATTATACATGTGTCATGTTTTGTGCCTGGGTTCAGGCCAATCTACATGAACATGGTTCATTTTGACCATTTGGCTCTTACAATTTTTCCTATTGAAACCATGTTGTTGTGAAATGACTTTCTTGCATCTGAACTCGATGTATTTTCTAACCAATAGGTCCTTTTAGGAGACAGTACTTTCCATGTATCTTATTTCTTTTAGCTCTTGAAATGCAACACGAACTCCTCCAATGAATTTCCCTAAGCCAAGAACAAGAGTTGGAGACGAGACTATCTTTAGTCAACTGCACTAAAAAGAAGCAGCAACCTTGAGAAGCAAACCGAATAGCGCGAAAGGAGCAGAGAAGAATGGGCTATGATCACTTTCCAAGGTATACACATGTTGGGGTTGCCATTTTCTGATCATTGCGTCTTGCTGCTCCGTCTTCATCACTCGATCATATGCCGTTCTTATGTAGATTCGAGGCACATTCTCTGCTCCCTCGCCTTCTTCTTTGAATCGCGCGCTTTGTAACGCTTGAATTGGTCCTGGACGCAATACCATTGTCGCTAATGTTGAATCCTAATTAAAACCAAAATGAAACATGCATGTTTATAAAACAGAGGTGATAAAGCTGCGCGTATAAGGTTAATTAGTTTCATTTACAATGCTGGGTGAAGTGAATTCGCAATATTTAATTACCTCAAGTGGGCTGATATGATAAATAATTTTGCGTTGTAAACTTTTCTTGACAACTATACTGGTTGGAGGTTGATCGGGTCCTGAACCGAACCCCATGTCATATACATCAGCAAATTCTCCAAAATCTGATAAATCGGGGACTCCCTGTAATTACAATAAGATTATAAATGGTCAAGCACTATATTTTGAATTTTTATTTTTATAAAGCTTTTTAAAAGCTGGCAGAATAAATTAATTGCGTTGCAACTTGCAGCTGATGAATAAAAGACGCAGGTCGGCAAAACCGCGAGCATCACTTATACTAATTAATGTAAGAACCGCTACAATTTATGATAGATTAGGTGTTGCTTAATTAAATAATTGAGCTTGCTTGCAGGAAAACTTTGGTTGCCTAAGGAATTAATTAGGATTAAATAATGAATAGTATATAATACTGTAATGCCCTTTGGAGAGGGTCAGGCGGACAATGCCACAGCAACCTAAATCTACAGGGCCTTATGTTGTACATTATAAATATAAATTCTACTCTTAATATCAAACTTTTGAAAAGTCATAATAAAAAAAATTGCTGGCTCACTAAATATGGGATATATATATATATATATATATNGGAATTTATGGGTTGCATCTGTAACACTCAGCCCTCCAGCGCTATGTCCTACCAATATTACCTATACACAATATAATAAATAACATCATACTTAATTAAGTCGTATTTCCTTAATTTGACCACTAAATTAAATTAAAGTATCTCAAATATGCATGTAACTTTACAAGAAAAATATTTAAACTAATTAAAAACAAAACTATATATATAATGTGTGAGAAAAAAATTAGCATAAGTACGTAGAATATTATCCACTAACTCTAAATTCTAAATATGTCATATCATTATGAAATGAGAGTGGATCGGAGAAAAAACCTGTTCACTATCAGGCAAAGATGACAAAAAATCGATGAGAGGCTTGTTGTATTCATCAAAAGAAACAATGGTGTTCGGGTCAGCTTGGTCGATGCCAGCACCTTTAAGGTCAAGACATGTGACTTTGTAGCCGGAATTCTCCATAAGAGACCTAATTTTGTACCAGCACCACCCTCCTCCCCCTATTCCATGTATTAGAACGAAATGGGCTCGTTGTGGCTGTGGTGGCACCTTCGTCTTCTCTATTTCCAACTTCATGTCTACAAATTCTTCTCCCATCTTGAATATGGCTAGGCTCTAAAATGTTCTGTGTTTCAACCTAAGCTTTCCTTCTCTTAATTTGTTTTTCTTTCAGAGTCAGGAAGGTTCTAATTTATGGTTGGAATAGTTGTTTTGCTGTTTGTCAATATATATAGTTGAGATAGTCTCCAAATGTCATGATCTATAGTACATATTAATACCATTATATTTCAACATTATTTCATGTCCTAGTGGAAATATTTGATTTTTAATACTCTTTTCAGTTCCAAAATGAATGATGAAGCTTGAAGTAAAATGTTGAATTTTGTATTTTATTATTTATTATTCTAGTTTTCATAATGAAATTCTGAATATTTAGAATAGATTAAGAAATTTAGTATTAAATTTAAAAAACGTCTGCAAAAAGTCAAAATAAAAAATATTGGTTGACTTCCAAATAATGGGGATTCAATGATGGATAAACTTTATTGGATTTAGCACCTCTTATTGTTACGTTTGACTTTTTAAAGTGATATTAAAATATAAATGAAGGTATATATATAGTTCTAAAATTGACTTTGCGCTCAAAATGAACATATATACGTATTCACTTTATCAGGATGAGAATACGGAATACCTCTAATAATATGAAATCCTTTGCAGTACTTGTTTTAAATATGGGAGAGACAGAATACTGAGAAAATCTCGACACAGAAAAGTGACAATTGTTTATAATGAAACAAAAAGTATTGTATCTTCGGTTTTACTAATTAATGACAGTAGTCACAGTACTATCATAAGAAAAATTATTTTTAAAATATTTTAACTTATATATATATATATATATATATATATATATATAATAGCTACACATCGAGTAAAATGAACTTGCAACAATAAGTAATTGTTCACAGCAAACCCTAATAATGCACTTAAAACTAAAAATTTGTTAGTGTAATATGCTATAGTATATTTTATAATATAAAAGAAAGTACACTCACAATGATGAAAGTTAAATTTTTTTGAAGGCGTGCAATTTTCGAGAATACAAGGAATTTTTTTCATATTATTATTTTTAAAACTCAAGCTCGTCGGCTTGCAGAGCGGAACCATAATTTGTACATAGTGAATGAATTTTGAAAACAAACATATTATGATTTGGATCAAAATTATTGATTATGTCGAACTTGTATCGTAAAAGTATATTCATCCCGTAAGCTTGTTGACACTGATTTGTTTATTCGGGTTAACATAATATAAGGAGTTTACTTATATTTTGAAATGCAAACCTGCAAATTATACTATACGTGCCAATCATTTAGAGCTAATTATTAATGATTAACTATGACTTAATTTATGAAGAATCCAGCGAGCTGTTTTCAAAAAATAAGTGGAAAACGTTAGACTGGTGTACTGTACGAATCTAGGAATTAGCAAATACATCTTTTCTTTAAAAACAAAAAAGATTAAAGTACTTTAAAAGTCAGTAGGGAGCGGAGTGGCTGACTACCTTTGGAAGGTGAGCCTTCAATCATATGGCCATCTTATAGTACTAAATTTCATAATTGACAGCTGGGATGATAATTCATAATTGTATGCTTTCTTTTATTTACGAGACCATTTGGGACCTACTAACAAGTTACTATCTATTGTCTATTATTTTAACATAGTTAAGTTTGCATATAACATCATCCTATAATAAAATTCAACTTTTATGACATTATTTATTATAAGTCAAGTTTGTGTGTGACTTATTCTTTCTAAGATTACGAGGTATAATTTTTAAAAAAAATTAGAATTATAACATAACTAAGTGCAATAAAAAAAGAAGATATAATATGAGAAATCATATAGAAACACGTGAAGTAAATGTTGAAAAATGAGAAATAAGAGAAAAATAAATAATGTAAAAAGTAACATTTGAAAAAAAAAATTAAAAAGTTTAAAAAATTAAAATTAAAAAGAAATAGAAAGTAAATTAAAAAGAAAAAACAAGAGATTCAAATATAACCTGATAATTACACCATGTAATTACAAGCAATTATGACCTCTCTTTGAGAATTGAAGAGTGTTATTACACCCCCTCAATTACACCCAATTACATGCTGACCAAGTAATTACATGGTCAGACATGCCAAAACTGTGTAATTACATCCAATTACATGGTGGCTTTCCAAACAAGCTCTCAATTTTAATTTTCACAGCAATTCTTTAGATATTAGTATTTACCCGAAAAACGGATAGAGTTGAATTTATGCGTAGTTCTAAGGATACGTGGTATAACTTGGTACAAATCGGGAAAATAAGTAGAAATATATCGAATATTGACTGTAAAAAAAAGAATGAAATACCAACCAAATTGTGTAGAGAATAATTTATAAAAAAGCAAGATAAATTAATGTCCAAAGCCCAAAAAAGGACAATCTCTGCTATATTTCTGTGTAAAATTAATAATCTTTGAGATGTGAGAATGTATTGATGTCTCAATGTTCAATGTCCGCCTCCTTACAGAAATAATAGCCATTCTCTATATAGTGGAGGAATCCTACTTTGGATATAATTAAAAATATATAGTGGGGATCCCATGATAGATTAGTTAATTGGCTTTTCCTTAATTTTCGCCGAGATTCTCTCCCCTGGTGCGGCTACAACGGCTCTTTGTCTCTTAGCTTGATCTTGGTCGGTTTTGGTATTGGTCGATCTCTGGATCTCGAGCTCGATATTGACTCGAGCTCGATATTGGCTCGAGCTCGGTATTGATTCGAGCTCGATATTGACTTCGATCTCGGTATTGATCGGTCCGTGAATCTTGAACTCGATAACCTGGCTTCAGATCTCATCTCGATATTATGATGACGACCCTCGGTCTATCATGTTCCAATCTCGACTAAATACATGAAGGGCAAAACCGGTTTTGACCGTATACAGATAGTCCCCTCGTTTCTCGGAAAGAATATGGCAAGAAACGATATAATTTTTTCAATCTCTGACTAGATACATATTGACGTCTACAACGAGCTCGTTTATGACGTATGTGATAAATGTCCCGTCGGTTCAGTTACTAAGGCATTAAATGTGCGTCAGACGATGGTCGGCCACTGCTGATTTTGAACCGTCATTGCCAAATCTATAAATAGCCCCCCTTTTTCATTTTTTTAAACCTTTACCTTCAACTCTTCTCATTCCAACCTTCATAGCTCTTTGCCTTCTCCAAAGTTCTATATTTCTAGTTTTAAGAATTTCTTTGCTTGTTCTTCGTCAAACACCAAAATATTTCAATTTCCTATCTTCCTTGTTCTTGAAAATTTAGATGGCCAAGATATCTAAAACCGTTCCTCAGAAAGAGGCTCCTTTCTCATCTCGGACGGCCGGTGAGAAACCTGTGGTGGAGCCATGCCTCGAAGAACTCGTTCCCGGGGGATATGTTATCGATTCTGACTTTAAGGTCGAGAAACCTTCATCGGTTGCTGGTCGATGTGAACCGGTATCAAGATATATATGCTCGATACCTCAAAGCCTTATTGATTTGGTGAAGAAAGATTGTGGTTGGGAAAACAAAGAGGTTGTGATACCGGCACCGGAAGAACCGATCACTACCCACGTGGAAGGGTACTTGAGTGTTTAGACTTATCCTTTCACGCTAGGTCCCCTCGATCCGATCATCATCGACTTTTGCAAAAAGTACCAAGTAACCCTCGGCCAAATATATCCTTCTTTCTGGAGGATTGTAATACTGCTCCGTTTCTTTGTGAGCAAAATCGACGGGCTTCCCTTCACCCTCGACCACCTAATAAGATTATATAGCCCTCATCTTTACCGAGGTGGTCTAATAAAGCTCTAATGTCAGGCCACCAAGGCGTTCACCTCGAGTGTTGATGAAGACAAATATCGGGGTTGGATGGGCCGGTTTGTCCGAGTGAAGACCTCGGACTTAATCCCGATTGAGAGTATGCCATTTCCCGAGAAATGGAATATGAATCGTAAGTATGATTCAGTTTTTAGCTTTTGTCGTTTTTACTTCTACATCTTTACTTATCGGTGCTTTTCTTGACACAACTGTTGCTTGGATGCCGGGAACGGTTCCCCATATCGAGAATTAGGTCAGGAGCCTGGTTTCGACGGCGACATATGTCGAGCGCGCTTGGCACGATTTTTCAAAGGGTCAATGGAAAGCTCGTACTCATGGTAAGCTCTCATCTTGGTCTACCGATTCGTTTGTCGTTCAAAGTGATATGTTTATTTGAAGCATGAGTTTACTTATCTTCTCCTTTCACAGGTCTCGGAAAAGATGCGGCCATGAGGCCCCAATCTGGTGGTAAGGATGTTTTACCGCCTGTCTCGAAGCCGTTGAAGGAAAGTAAGAGAAAAAGGACTTCGGATTCCGAGAGTCAAAAACCTAAGAAGAGGACAGTTCGAAAGCCCAAGGGAACCATAATCCCATTGAATATGGAATCGATCATGCGTCTAAGGGATGAAGAAGAAGAAGATAACTCTAGATTGGTGGCCCGTGCTCGGGCTGACACCGATATTTGTAAAGATTTGGGACCAGTGGGGACTGATTCTGCTTTATCCAGGTCCGACGAGGTCGAGGATAAGACTTCGAATCGAGTTCCTGAGCAAAGGGAGGCCGGGGATGTTTTACCCCGGGGCAACGAATCCATCGAAGAGGCGGTTGATGATGGTGTAGGAACCAAGTTTGAGGTTCCCCGATATGGAGGCGGCGCCTCGAAAGACATAATCGGGGCAATAGAGATCGGCGATTCCTCTTTTTTCCTTCATTTTCACAGTCTATGATACATGACGCCCAAGCTGTGGAGGTTTATCATGGGGAGGGAGCCCATGGAGAGGAAGATCCTTTCTGTGGTTATTTTGTTGGAGTAGATGATGCTACCGGTCCGAGCAATTTGGAGGCTTCGAAGAAGAGCTCGGGCAAGGCGGGGATTCCTCGTATATTCAACGAAGCTCAGCAGGCCCTGAATCGGGTAAGTTTGCTTTCTCTTTGTCAACTTTCATACTTGTATTTTTCTTCTTTTGTATAACTCCTTTTTTATTTTTTGTAGGCTTCTGCGCTCTATCACGAGGCATTTTTCCGATCCCGAGGGGA